GGAAGCACCTTACCAGCCTAAGCATCTAGTAGGCACAGAGGCCAGGAAGGAGGTGCCCCAGCTGACCCCGCCTCCAGGGCTGGCCGGTTCCAGCACCTTCTCCCCAGCGGTGTTGGAGTCGGACACCCAGATGCTACGCCAGAGCCCCCTGTCTTGGTGGGATGTTAAAGAATTAGGGACCAGGCCACGTGCGGTGGCTCACATCTGTAATCCCAGCATTTTTGGGGATCAGGCCATGTGCAGTGGCTCACACCTGTAATCCCAGCATTTTGGGAGACCAAGGTGGGTGAATCACCTGAGGTCAGGAGTTCAAGACCAGCCTGGCCAATATAGTGAAACCCTGTCTCTACTAAAAATACAAAAAAAATTAGCTGGGGGTGGTGGCATGCACCTGTAATTCCAGCTACTCAGGAGGCTAAGGCAGGAGAATCTCTTGAACCTGGGAGGCGGAGGTTGCAACTGAGCCGAGATTATGCCACTGCACTCCCGCCTGGGTGACACAGTGAGACTCTTCAAAAAAAAGAAAAGAAAAAAGAAAAGGAAAGAAAGAAAAAGGGAGAAAGAGAGAGAGAAAGAAAGAAAAAGAAAAGAGAAATAATTCAAAACGAAGTGTCCAGTTTGCTCTGTGGCCCCCCAGCTTCCTCTCGCCATAGGGACGTGGCTTTACTGTTGTGACTCCTCAGTACCACAAAAACACCCTCAGCCGGGAAGGTGGGGACCTGCGGGCAGCAGCGCAGAGCGGGTGGCGCGGGCGCAGGCTCTGGAGCAGGCTCGCCTGGCTGCTTGTCCCAGCCCACAGGCTCGTCACCGGGCTGCGCCGAGCCTCAGGTCCACGTCTGGGAAAGTCAGGATTCCCCACCCGTGAGTCTCTGTTAGCATGGAGCGAACCAAAGCGCAGAAGAGCACGGTCCCGCGCGGGGCACGTGGTGGACATTCGTGAGCGCTGTGACTGCCGGCCGCGCGGTGCTTGGTCCCTGTGGAGGAGGCGGCCGGGGCGCGGGGCCCGGGGGCGCCGCCTGCTGAGCACTGCCTCCGTTGCTACGTGTCAGCCCCTCCAGGCGAAGGCATCGAGAGTTGAGGGCCAGAGACCCCAGGGACCCTGACCAGCGGTGCCGGACTCAAGCGGTGTCTTGGAGCTGCTGAGGGCGTGGGCAGGGCTTGAGCTACACGGTCATCACCCGGGGTGTCTCCTTGTCCACCTGCCCGCTGGACACGAGACCTCACTCCCACCCCACAATCTGCAGGTCTGAACCAGAGATCTCCCCTCCCCACTTTGCTCTGGACACCTGTCCCCCTCCCCCGAGTCTGAGGCTGCCCCGCAACAGAGGAGAAATCAGTTGACCAACTGCTCAATGCGTTATTTCACTTCTAAATGATTCTTCAAGAAGCAAACCTCCAAAACAGACCTTATGTACATATTAAAATTAATATATGATACAGCGATATCTCAAATCACTGAAAAAAGTATTATTCAATAAAGGGCCTGGAATGATTAATCAACAGTTAAAAATAAATAATCTCGACTGAGCACAATGGCTCACCCCTGTAATCCCAGTACTTTGGGAGACCTAGGTGGGAGGAGCTTGACCCTGGATTTCAAGACCACCCTGGGCAACATAGGGAGACTCAATCTCTAGGAGAGAAAAAAAAAAAAGTAATTAGCTGGGCATGGTGGCACATGCCTGTGGTCCAAGCTATTGGGAAGGCTGAGGCAGGAGGACAGCTTGAGTTCAGGCGATCAAGGCTGGTGTAAGCCATGATCATGCCACTGCACTCCAGCCTGGGTGACAGAGTGAGACACCGATTCAAAAAAAGAAATGCAGAAAAGCCAACATTAAGTAGCCAAATCTGGGACAATTTGAGGATCAAAATAACTAATGAGGCCAGATGCGACAGCTCATGCCTGTAATCCCAACACTTTGGGAGGTAGAGGCTGGTGGATCACCTGAGGTTGGGAGATCGAGACCAGCCTGGCCAACCCAGTGAAACTCCATCTCTACGAAAAATACAAAAATTAGCTGGGCGTGGTGGCACACTCCTGTAATCCCAGCTACTCAGGAGGCTGGACGGGAGGATCTCTTGAACCCAGGAGGCAGAGGTTGCAGTGAACCAAGATCGTGCCACTGCACGGCAGCCTGGGTAACAGATCAAAGAAAAAACAAACAAAAAATTAATGATAGTAACAAATTATAATCCATTAAATAACATAAGAACCTAGGGGCGGGTGCAGTGGCTCACGCCTGTAATCCCAACACTTTGGGAGGCCAAGGCAGGTGGATCACATGAAGTCAGGAGTTCGAGACCAGTCTGACCAACATGGTGAAACCCCATCTCTACTAAAAATACAAAAATTAGCTGGGCATGTTGGCGGGCACCTGTAATCCCAGCTATCAGGAGGCTGAGGCAGGACAATCGCTTGAACCCAGGAGGCGGAGGTTGCAATGAGCCGAGATTGCACCACTGCACTCCAGCATGGGCGACAGAGCAAGACTCTGTATATATATATAAAAAAAAAAAAAAAAAAAAAATTAGCCAGGTGTGGCGGCACACGCCTGTAATCCCAGCTACTCAGGAGGCTGAAGCAGGACAATGGCTTGAACCCAGGAGGCAGAGGTTACAGTGAGCCGAGATTGTACCACTGCACTCCAACCTGGACAACAGAGTGAGACTGTCTCAAAAAAAAAAAGAAAGAAAGAAAGAAAGAAATCCTGTCATTTGCAGCAAAATGTATGAACCTGGAGGACATTATGTTAAGTGAAATAAGCCAGGAGCAGGAAGGAAAATACTGCACGATCTCACTCATGTAGAATCTAAAAAAAGTTGGTCTCATAGAAGTTTAGTCCTAGAGGTTGGGGAGGACAGTGGGGATGGAGGGAGACTGGTCAGCAGGCACGAAGTTACAGTTGGATAGTTCTGGTGTTCCAGTGCACTGGCCAGAGTGAAGAGATTTTACTGAACGCATGGGGTAGAGAGCCCAGAAGTGCCACACCTTAAAAATAGGATTAAATTAGCCAGAGAGGATAGCCTATTCCAGACTAATCCTGAGTTATCTTAAAACCAAGGCTTATATGCCCAGGCCCATTGGCTCACGCCTGTAATCCCAGCGCTTCGGGAAGCAGAGGCAAGAGGATCGCTTGAGCCCAGGAGTTCGAGACCAACCTGAGCAATATAGTGAGACCTCATTTCTACTAAAAATTACCAGGGCATGATGGCTTGCACCTGTAGTCCCAGCTACCAGGGAGACTGAGGCAAGAGGGTCACTTGAGCCCAGGAGTTTGACACTTCAGTGAGCTATAATCATACCACTGTACTCCAGCCTGGGCAATAGAGCAAGACTCCACCTCTTTAAAAAAGATCAAAATGATCTGCATGTAAATTAACTGCCTAAAAATGTTTCGGTGCTCTTTGAGAGGATCACAACAAACTCCAGCAACCCAAAACATACATTTCACAATGTCTGACATCCAATAAAAAATTACATGAAATAGGAGAAAGAAGGAAAAGGCGACCTTTAGCCTGGAGAAAAATCAGACAGTATAAACTGATACAGCAATGACAAAGATCACAGAATTTTTCCTTTTTTTTTTTGAAATGGAGTCTCGCCCTGTCGCCCAGGCTGGAGTGCAATGGTGCGATTTCAGCTCACTGCAACCTTCGCCTCCCAGGTTCAAGAGATTCTCCTGCTTCAGCCTCCTGAGTAGTTGGGATTACAGGCATGTGCCACCATGCCTGGCTATTTTTTTCTTTTCTTTTTTTTTTTTTTTTATATCTTTAGTTTCACCATGTTGGCCAGGCTGATCTCGAACTCCTGAACTCATGATCCAACCGCCTCAGCCTCCCAAAGTGCTGAGATTACAGGCATGAGCCACTGCGCCCGTCCTCAAATTTGTCTTTTAAAATGACCCCCAAATAACAGTCCCTGATGAAATTTCAAAGTGGGATTCTGTTCTGTTCTGTTCTGTTTTGGCAGGGTCTCACTCTGTTGCCCAAGGTGGAGTGAGTGCAGTGGTGCTCACTGCAACCTCGACTTCCCAGGCTCCAGTGATCCTCCCACCTCAGCATCCCAGGTAGCTGGGACTACAGGCGCATGCTGCCACACCCGGCTAATTTTTGTATTTTTTGTAGAGATGGGTTTTGGCCATATTGCCCAAGCTGGTTGTGAACTCTTGAGTTCAAGCGATCTGATCTGCCTGCCTCGGCTTCCCGAAGCGCTGGGATTACAGGTGTGAACCACCGTGCCCAGCCTGAGATTCTGCCTCTTCTCCCTCTTGGTAAACTGATTTCATCTAATGTTGCATTGTGGTCAGCTTGCCGGTCAGCGGACAGCGGCTGCAGTGAGCTTAGCACCTGGTTGGATGGAAGCTCCACCCTTTACACACCAATGCCTGACATTGTTTAATTCAGGAGCAACGTCGTCTTCTACAGAAAGCGCTCCCGGACCTCCTGGACTAAGTAGGTCAGGCTCCTTAAGGGTGAAGTGTTCTCTCTGCCCTGTTCTTTCATCCTGGCCATTTATCACAATTTATTCTGTCTCCCTCAAGTCCAAGAACTGGGGCCAGGTATGTCCTTGAATCTCCAGCAGGAATCACAGTGTCATTGATACTGTGACAATCGGGGTGTCATCGATAAACATTTGTTGAATGAATGGATGCATACTTGAAAAAAATGCTGTGGGTATGATATTCGGTTCCGGGCCAGGTGCGGTGGCTCACGCCTGTAATCCCAACACTTTGGGAGGCCAAGGTGGGAGGATCACTTGAGGTCAGGTATTCGAGACCAGCTTGGCCAACATGGTGAAACCCCATTTTTACTAAAAATACAAAAATGAGCTGGGTGTGGTGTTGCGCGCCTGTAATCCCAGCTACTCGGGAGGCTGAGGCAGGATAATCGCTTGAACCTGGGAGGCGAAGGTTGCAGTGAATCGAGATTGCGCCACTGCACTCCATCCTGGGCGACAGGGCGAGACTAAGAAAAAAAAATTCGGTTCTGAACAAATTTCGAGTCACTGACAAAGCTGCGGCATCCAGCAGAGGGCGCGCCAGGCGCCAGCACCAGGCTGGAGGACGCCTGGCTCAGCCCCAGGCCGGCTTCCGGGAGCCCCGCCAAGTGCAGGGGGATACCCCGTCCTTGGCGGCTGCTTGCCTTTCTCCGTACTGTCCCTGTGAAGGTCAAGATCTATAACGTTGAGAGTCCCCAGACATACGATGGGAGAGTTGCAGTAAGTACTCTTTAAATCCCCTTTCACCCTTGAGAGTCTACGATTTTCGACGTTTTCCAGGCGATTTTTACTCTGGTCCAGAATAGGTGCGTGGTAATTCCTGACTTTCGCCACCGGAGGGCACTCCCGGCCCTCGCTTCCCTGCCCCGCGCGCGGTCTGCAATCGGCTGGGCTTTTAAGTCTTTCTGGGCTCTGGCTGGTCTCCCAGAGAATCTAAACTCAAAACGCTTGAGAGACACGCCAGCCTCCGGCAATCCCAGAGTGTGCTGAAGTCCCCATCGTCCTTCCCTGGAATGTCAGTGAATGGGGAAGCCTTCCCTTTTTACTCACCGCCATCCTCCCCTCCCAGGCGTGGGGAGACCCGGCGCTGGGGGGCCCTGAGCAGGTTCCTCACCTGCACCGACCCACATCTTTGAAGTTGGAGTGCGTGGAATGGGCCTCAGTGGCACACCCCAATCTGGGGACACATCAGAACTTTTTTTTTTCCCCCTTATTTTGTTTTTCTTTTGAGACGGTCTGGCTCTGTCGTCCATGCTGCCGTGGGGCGATCACGGCTCACTATAACCTCCACTTCCCAGGCGAAAGCGATTCTCCCACCTCAGCCTCCCGAAGTGCTGGGACTACAGGTCCAGGCCACCACGTCTGGCCCATTTTATTTCTAAATGGCTCATGCCTATAATTCCAACACTTAGGGAAGCCAGGGCAGGCGGATCACTTGAGCCCAGGATTTTGACACCAGCCTGGGCAACATAGTGAGACCCTATCTCTACAAAAGATTTAAAAATTAGACGGGCGGGCTGGGCGTGGTGGCTCACGCCTGTAATCCCAGCACTTTGGGGGACCGAGGCAGATGGGGATCACCTGAGGTCCGGAGTTCAAGACGAGCCTGGCCAACATGGTGAAGCCCCATCTCTACTAAAAAAAAAAAAAAAAAAAAAAAAAAAAAAAAAGACCAGGCGCGGTGGCTCACACCTGTAATCCCAGCACTTTGGGAGGCCAAGGCGGGCGGATCACGAGGTCAGGAGATGGAGACCATCCTGGCTAATACAGTGAAACCCTGTCTCTAATAAAAATATAAAAAAGTAGCCGGGTGTGGCGGCGGGTGGCTGTAGTCCCAGCTACCTCAGGAGGCTGAGATAGGAAAATGGCGTGAACCCAGGAGGCAGAGGTTGCAGTGAGCCAAGATCACGCCACTGCACTCCAGCCTGGGCGACAGAGCGAGACTCCGTCTCAAAAGAAAAAAAAAAAAAAAATAGCCGGGCGTGGTAGCAGGCAACTGTAATCCCAGCTACTCAGGAGGCTCAGGCAGGAGAATTGCTTGAACCTGGGAGGCGGAGGCTGCAGTGAGCCGACATCGCACCACCAACAGAGTGAGACCCTGTCTCAAAAATAAATAAATAAATAAATAAATTAGCTGGGCGTACTGCCATGTGCCTGTAGTCCCAACTACTCAGGAGGCTGAGGTGGGAGAATAGCTTAAGCCCAGCATCAAGCCTGCAGTGAGCTGTGATTGTGCCACTACACTGCAGCCTGGGCAACAGAGCAAGACCCTATCTCAAGAAAAAAAAAAAAGGAAAGAAAATATAGGCTAAAATTCTATTTATTTATTTTTTTTTTAATTTAAGGTTAGGGGCAGGCATGGTGGCTCACGCCTATGATTCCAGCACTTTGAGAGGCCAAGTCAGAATTATTGCTTGAGCCCAGGAGTTCAAGACCAACCTGAGCAATATAGCAAGACCCTGTCTCTATTTTTTTAAATTAATTAATTAAAAGTCAAATAAAATGAATTTAAGATAGCCACTAACAAGATAATATGGAACTACAGTCCTCAGTATCTGAGGAGGCACTGGTTCTAGGACTGCCATACCAAATCCGTGGTATCAAGTCCCTTATATAAATTGGTGTAGGCCGGGCATGGTGGCTCACGTCTGGAATCCCAGCACTCTGGGAGGCTGAGGCAGGCAGATCACCTGAGGTCAGGAGTTCAAGACTAGCCTGGCCAACATGGTGAAATCCCGTCTCTACTAAAAATACAAAAATTAGCCGGGCATGGTGGTGCACATCTGTAATCCCAGCTACTCGGGAGGCTGAGGTGGGAGAATCACTTGAACCCGGGAGGCAGAGCTTGCAGTGAATCAAGATTTCCCCACCGCACTCCAGCCTGAGCGAGACTTCCTCTCAAAATAAATAAATAAATTGGTGTAGTATTTGCATATAACCTACATATACTTAAATCATCTTTAGATTACTTATAATACCTAATACAATGTAAATGCTATGTAGATAGTTGTCCTGCTGTATTGTTTTTTATTTGTGTGATTTTTATTGTTATATTTTTTCCTGAATATTTTTGATCTATGGTTGCTTGAATCCCATGGAAATGGAGGGCCAATTGTACTTGGCAAAAAGAGAAAAAAATACTTGATCAGTATAGCAAAGAGAGGGAAAGAAAAACCAGAAAACAGCCTGGCCCCGTGGCTCACGCCTGTAATCCAAGCACTTTGAGAGGCAGAAGCAGGCGGAAAATGAGGTCAGGAGTTCAAGACCAGCCTGGCCAATATGGTGAAACCCCATCTATACTAAAAAATACAAAAACTAGCTGGGTGTGGTGACCCACACCTGTGGTCCCAGCTACTCAGGAGGCTGAGGCAGGAGAATCACTTGAGCCCAGGAGGCGGAGGTGGCAGTGAGCCGAGATCATGCCACTGCACTCCAGCCTGGCAACAGAGCAAGACTCTCTCAAAAAATAAAATAAAATAAAAAAGCATTTTCAAACATATCACTATCACAATACATTTGAATGGATGAATCTCTTCTATTACAAGACCAAAAAAATGTTTAAATCATGAGACTCATAAGTTCTTTTTTTTTTTTTTTTAGATGGATTATTGCTCTGTCACCCAGGCTGCAGTACAATGGTGTGATCTCAGTTCACTGCCACCTCTGCCTCCTGGGTTCAGGTGATTCCTCTGTCTCAGCCCCCCGAGTTATTGGGATTATAGGTGCCCACCGCCATGCCCGGCTAATTTTTTTGTATTTTTAGTAGAGATGGGGTTTCACCATGTTGGCCAGGATGGTCTCGAACTCCTGATCGCAGGTGATCTGCCTGCCTCGGCCTCCCAGAGTGCTGGGATTACAGGCATGAGCCACTGTGCCTGGCCAAGATGCATGAGTTCTTAAAGTGAAAACGAAGCGTCCTTTTTTGCAAACAGTCTGATCAGGGAAGGCAAGGTTAAGTGAAATATACATTTTCACTTCAATTTTTCATTAGTTCCTTCCTCCATCATTTTGTTACAGTGCCTAAGTGTGCCAGGCATGGTATTGGGTACCAGGGGTTCAGAGATGAATTGACTAAAGCTTCTCTAAGTGCCCCCCTCCCCAGTAGGAAGGATATCTGTCTTGACCAGAGTTAAACCCAGAGACAACCAAGGAGGAAGTCTCGGCCTTCTCACCTGAGCCACGCTCAGCCTCTTCCACTCCCAAAGGCCTCCTGCTCCTTCACCTTCAGCCCAGCCCATGCATCTCCTTTGATGCGAGACTCACCCAAGATGAGACGGAAACAGTCCCGACACACAATCAATCCTCACCTTTCCGACTTTTCCTTTTGGCACACAACACAAACACTCCGGGTTTGCCCTGAGGCATCTGCAGGGGCAGGGCCAGGGGAGCGGAGGCTGAGGCTCCTCCGGGTCTACTTTCTCTGAGGAGAGCAAACACCGTTTGCCTTTGATACTTACCAAGGTCACTGTGGTTGCTCCCTGTGGAATGACAGTGGCAGCGTCCCCGAAACACTGGCTCCTTCTCCAACCCTCACACATGCATTAAATCCCAAAGGTGAAAGGAGAGGGCTCAGGGCACAGTGCTTATCCCACCACATGCCAAGAGGGGCTGGGTAATCCTTCTGGGTTTGTTCTCCAAAGCCCGAGTTGGGGAAATGGGGACTCTTCAGACAGGGTTACCTTTGTCTGTCCCTGTTCGTTTATGTGAGAGCAGGTTTGTTCTGCCAGGCTGAGGCCCCAGGCCCACCAGCCATCAGCTCCTTGTGGAGGTTGGGTGTGGGAGTGCCCCTCTGGGGACTGAAAGCCCTCCCATCCCTGAAGCTGGGCCTATCTGGGGAGTGGGGGCAGGCGAGCTCCATCAGCCACTGAGGAGAGAGGGCCTGGTCAGGGCCCTGCCACAGTCATTCCACAGGGAGTAACACACAGTTCTCTACTAAAAACACAAAGTTCACCAGGTGTGATGGCACACACCTGTAATCCCAGCTACTCAGGAGGCTGAGGCAGGAGAATTGCTTGAACCCGGGAGGTGGAGGTTACAGTGAGATGGCACCACTGCACTCCAGCCTGGGCAACAGAGTAAGACTCCGTCCCCCCGGCCCAAAAAAATATACTGGGCTGGCAGGGCGTGGGGGTTCACGCCTGTAATCCCAGCACTTTGGGAACCTGAGGCAGGTGGATTGCTTGTGCTCAGGAGTGTGAGACCACCCTGGGCAACATGGCAAAACTCCATCTCTGTAAAAATTTAAAAATTATCTGGGTGTGGTGGCATGCACCTGTAGTCGCGGCTACTCAGGAGTCTGAGGTGGGAGGATCATCTGAGCCTGGGGATGTTGAGGCTGCTGTGAGGCATGATTGCATCACTGTACTCCAGCCTGGGTAACAGAACAAGACCTGTCTAAAAGAAAATACTGACATTAAGCTGGGCACAGTGGCTCATGCCTGTAATCTCAGCACTTTGGGAGGCAGAGGTGGAAAGATCACTTGAGGCCATGAGTTCAAGATCAGCCTGGGAAACATAATGAGACCTCATCTCTACAAATGTTATTTTTACTTAGCCAGGCGTGGTGGTGTGCACCCATAGTCCTAGATACTCAGGAGGCTGAGATGAGAGGGTCCCTTGAGCCCAGAAGGTTGAGGCTGCAGTGAGCTATGATTGTATTATTGCACTCCAGCCTGGGCAACAATGTGAGACCATGTTGCCCAGGCTGGTCTGGAACTCCTGGCCTTGAAAGATCCTCCCACCTAGGCCTCCCAAAGTGTGGGATTACAAGCGTGAGTCCCTGTGCCCGGCCTCCAGGGGCTTCTTGACAGAACAAGCATCCTGGAGTAGGGGTGGGGGTGGCCATCCTAATTAGAAAGCATCCCTCCTGGGTCTCTCTGAAGCGCTAAAGCCGGGTGAAGACCCCAGCTCTGCGTCTTGGCCCACAGTGGATCTTGAGCGGGGTCCGTGGGAGTTCTCATCATCAATAAGACGTTCTATAACTGGAGGACTCCAGTCACCTGAGAAATGAAGAAATGGGTCAGAGGACTCGACAGGGATGGGTGGGCCAGCGGTGCCCCCAGCTCTGCACCACGTGATGGAGCCTCTTTTGCATTTGCAGCTCCCTCCCCGGGGCAGAACAGGTCTGTTTGTCTTCCCAAACCTCAGAGATGCCAAGAACGAAGGAAATCTGATACCCCTAAGGCAAGAACTGTTCCAGCCCTGTGCTGCCAACAGGAAGCCTTTGCCCATGCCCAAGAGAGAGGGCAGGTGAGAGGCCCCCGCCTCAGGGTTCCCACCAACCAACCAGGGACACCAGGAGCCATCTGCCATGTGGTTCCCACAGCAGCCAGCAGGGGGCAGCCTGTCGAAGACTTCCTGGGGCCATGTCGTCCTGAGTCGTGCAGGTTCCCACAGGCCAGCACCCAGTGTGGAAAACAGCATGTGGTAGCAGGGGGTTAGGTGTCCGGCATGAGCCAGCCTGGCCTTTACCTTTTGGGCTCTTTTCCTGTCTAGCCCGCCCAAAATATGGAAACCTTAACAGCAGACATGGGTTATGATGTCAGAGTTTGGGATATTTTAGAAGGGGTCTTGTTATGTTGCCCAGGCTGATCTTCAACTCCTGAGCCCAAGCGATCCTTCCACCTCAGCCTCCTAAGTAGCTGGGACTACAGGCGCCTGCCACTGTGCCCAGCTTAATGTCAGTTTGTAGCTTCACAACTTTGCTTTATCCTAATTTCTGAGCAATACCCAATCAGCTAGGCCTGGAGCACCATCCCCACACTGAATTTCTCCCTCTTTTGGATATTTTATGGACATTAAAAACAAGCATGGGCTTCCAAAGACACCCACAAGCTGGGAGAAAACATTTTAAAAAACAAACCACAGACTGGGAGAAAAGATTCACAACCTACATATCTGGTAAAAGACTTGTATTCAGAATACATAAAGTACTTTTACAACTCACTCATTAATAAGACAAACATCTCAACCGAAATGGGCAAAAGATTTGAATCAACATTTCATCAAAGAAGATATGTGGAAAGTCACTAGAGACATGAAAAACGCACCCCATCAGCAGCCATAAGGGAAACGGCCCTTGAAACCACAGCGAGATGATACCATTTCCACCCCATTGGAGTGGCTGCAGTCCGAAAGGCTGACCATACCAAGACTTGTGAGCATAGGGAGCAAGGCAGGCTCTCATGCGCTGCTGTTGGAAATAGAAAAGAGCGCAACCACTTTGGAAAACAGTTTGGTAGTTTCTTTTTTTTTTTTTTTTAGATGGAGTCACGCTCTATTGCCCAGGCTGGAGTGCAGTGGCGTGATCTAGGCTCACTGCAACCTCCACCTTCCGGGTTCAGGCAATTCTCCTGCCTCAGCCTCCTGAGGAGGTGGGACTATTGGGATACACCACCACGTTCAGCTAATTTTTATATTTTTAGTAGAGACGGGGTTTCGCTGTGTTAGCCAGGCTGGTCTCGAACTCCTGACCTCAGGTGATCCACCCACCTTGGCCTCCCAAAGTGCTGGGATTACAAGTGTGAGCCACTGCACCCAGCCAGTTTCTTAAAAAAATTGAAATGTAACATTTAGAGCATACACTATCCCATTCTAAGGTAATTAATCACCCCCTTTCCCCCACACAAAAAAATGTATGAAAGCATATGTCCAGGCCAGGTGTGGTGGCTCACGTCTGTAAGCCCAGCACTTTGGGAGGCCGAGGTGGGTGGATCACTTGAGCCTGGGATTTTGAGACCAGCCTAATATGGTGAAACCCCGTATCTACTAAAAATACAAAAATTAGCTGGGCATGGTGGCGTGCACCTGAAATTCCAGCTACCCAGGAGGCTGAGGCAGGAGAATCGCTTGAACCCGGGAGGCAAATGTTGCAGTGAGCCGAGATCACGCCACTGCACGCCAGCCTGGGCAACAGAGCAAGACTCTGTCTTGAGAAAAAAGCACATGTCCACACAAAGACTCAAACACAGAGACGAAAATTTCCACAGCAGCTTTACAAGTAATAGCCCCAAAACAGAAAACAACCGCAATGCTCACCATGAATAATGAGTAGATAAGCAATTGTGGACTATCCATCCAATGGACTACTGCACAGGGACAAAGAGGAACCACACACACACATATACAGACACACAAATATACACACACACATATACACACACAAATATACACACAAATACACACACACAAACATATACACACATATACACACACATATACACACACACAAATATATACACACATATACACACACACAAGTATATACACACATACACACAAATATACACACATACATACACATATGCACACACACACAAATATGCACACACATATACATGCACACACAAATATACACACAAATATACATGCACACACACAAACATACACACATATACACACATATATACACACACACAAATATATACACACATACACACAAATATACACACATACATACACATATGCACACACACACAAATATACACACATATATACACACACAGAGATATATACACACACAGAGATATATACACAAATATACACACATACATACACATATGCACACACAAATATACACACACATACATATATGCACATATACATACACACATATACACATACATATATACACACATACATATACACACATATATACAAACACACACCTATACACACACACATATATATTTCTAAATACAGTTGGCCCTTGAACAACATGGGTTTGAACTGCATGCCTCAGCTTATACACAGATTTTTTTTCAATAAAAGAGACCCTGAGTGTGCCTGCCTCTCCTCCCGCCTCCTCCACCTCTTAACCCTCTGCCTTCTCTGAGACAGTGAGACCAACCTCTCCCCTTCCTCCTCAGCCTACTCAATGTGGGAGACAACCAGGGTGACGACTTTTGCAATGATCCACTTCCACATAACGAATGGTAAGTAGAGCTTCTCTTCCTCACAATTTCCTTGATAACGTTTTGTCTTCTGTAGCTGACTTTATTGTAGGAAAGCAGTGTGTAATACACAGAACCCACCAAATATGTCTGCTTTCTAATCCCCTCAAGAATTAGAATGAGTGGATTGTTTGGCAATTGTGGAGTCCCAGGTTCCAGCAAAGGAGCTGAATGGTCTTTTAAAATGTTTTTATTTTTAGTTTTAAAAATCATTTGGCCAGGCGCAGTGGCTAATGCCTGTAATCCCAGCAATTTGGGTGGCTGAGCCAGGTGGATTGTTTGAGCCCTGGAGTTCGAGACCAGCCTGGGAAACATGGTGAAACCCTGTCTCTACAAAAAATACAAAAGTTAGCCAGGTATGGTGGTGCACACCTGTAGTCCCAGCTACTTGAGAGGCTGAGGCAGGAGGATCACTTGAGCCCAGGAGACGAAGGCTGCAGTGAGCCGGGATTGTGCCACTGCACTCCAGTCTGAGTGACAGAGTGAGACCCTGTCTCAAAAAAAAAATGATTTGTATTTATTTCACTGAGCATGTCTCATGGTTCATCCACATTGTCTCAGGTGTCAGAATTTCCTCCTGTCGAAGGCTGAATAACACTGCGTTTTCTCTATACCCCGTGTTTGATTTCTCCATTCATCTGTCGACAGACACTTGGATGGTTTCCACCTTTTGGCTGTGTGAGTGATTCGGCTATGAACACGGCACGCCACTAAAATTTTGATTCTAGGTGTTGTTATACCACAACAAATGGCTGGAACAATGTTGCGCCTCAATAAAAATGTATTTTAGGGGCCGGGCGCAGTGGCTCACACCTGTAATCCCAGCACTTTGGGAGGCCGAGGTGGGCGGATCACCTGAGGTCGGGAGTTCAAGACCAGCCTGACCAACATGGAGAAACCCCATCTCTACTAAAAATACAAAATTAGCCGGGCGTGGTGGTGCATGCCTGTAATCCCAGCTACTCTTTGACAGCCAGGCTGGAGTTGCTGTGGCAGGACTATAGCTCACTGCAGTCTCCACCTCCTGGGCTCAAGCAATCCTCCCACCTTAGTCTCCCAGGTGGAGGGGACTACATGCACCCCCCACCACTCACAGCTCAAAATATGTGTTAACTGACTGTTTACACTATAGGCAAGACTTCTGTCAATAGCAGGCTGTTAGTAGTTAACTGCTGGGGAATGAAAAGTTATATTTGGATTTTTTACTGTTGGGGCCACCCCTAAACCCCTGCATTGTTCAAGGGTCAACTATAGTATGTATATATATTTACATATTTTTTCTTAGAAGGTCAAGGTTGATACTGTATATATGCACCAGAGTAACCATAATTCTCCCTCCTCTTTTGCCTTTACTTTTAAATAGATTTGGTGCTCACCTCGACCTTCTGCACTTTTCCCTGCCTGCTCTTGTTTATGTGGACTGACCTCTGGATGGTACTGTCAGGCACAGAGGGGCTTTGTTTCTTCAAGAGATCATGAGGCTGCATTCCCTGAGAGTCTGCAGGTCGCCTGACCTTTGAAGGAAGGCTTTGCTGAGGAACACTTTTTAAAACATAGTATAGTCATTTTAAAAATACATTTTCTTTTTTTTTTTTTTTTTTTTTTTTTTGGGGTTTGTTTCCAGCTGGAGTGATGGCATCTCATCCTACTCTTCCGTTCCCTTCCTCCTCAGCTCCGAGTACTGGTACAGTGCACTATCCTATTTTTGTTTTTTTGTAGAGGGGTTCACTGTTACAATTATTCTATTTTTGCCTATCGGGATACGCTTGAGAGGGGCCAATCTTTTTTTTTTTTTTTTTTTTTTTTTTTTGAGATGGGGTTTCACTCTTGTTGCCCAGGCTGGAGTATAATGGTGCATTCTCAGCTCACCACAACCTCCACTTCCCGGGTTCAAGTGATTCTCCTGCCTCAGTCTCCTGAGTAGCTGGGATTACAGGCATTCACCACCACGCCTGGCTAATTTTGTATTTTTAGTAGAGATGGGGTTTCTCCATGTTGGTCAGGCTGGTCTTGAACTCCCGACCTCAGGTGACCCGCCCACCTCGGCCTCCCAAAGTGCTGGGATTATAGGTGTGAGCCACTGCGCCCAGCCCCTAAAATACATTTTTATTGAGGCGCAACATTGTTCCAGCCATTTGTTGTGGTATAACAACACCTAGAATCAAAATTTTAGTGGCGTGCCATGTTTATAGCCGAATCACTCACACAGCCAAAAGGTGGAAACCATCCAAGTGTCTGTCGACAGATGAATGGAGAAATCAAACAGGGGGTATAGAGAAAACGCAGTGTTATTCAGCCTTCGACGGGAGGAAATTCTGACACCTGAGACAACGTGGATGAACCTTGAGACATGCTCAGTGAAGTAAGCCCGTCACAAAAGGACAAACACTGCACGATATCACCTTTTTTTTCTTTTGAGACAGAGTCTTGCTCTGTCGCCCAGGCTGGATTGCAATGGTGCAATCTCGGCTCACGGCCACCTCTGCCTCCCAGGTTCAAGCAATTCTCCTGTCTCAGCCTCCCGAGTATCTGGGATTACAGGCACACGCCACCACGCCTAGCTAATTTTTGTATTTTTAGTAGAGATAGGGTTTCACCATATTGGTCAAGCTGGTCTTGAACTCCTGACCTCAGGTGATCCACCCACCTTGGCCTCCCAAAGTGCTGGGATTACAGGCATGAGCCACCATGCCTGGCCGCATGATGCCACTTATACGAGGTCCCTAAAGTAGTCAAATTCAGAGAGACAGAAGTAGAACGGTGGTTGCCTAGGGCTGGGAAGGGGGGATGGAGAGTGGGTGTTTAATGGGTAAGAATTTCAATTTTACAAGATAAAAAAGCTCTGGAGATCTGTTGCACAGTCATATGGATGTACTTAACACTGCTGAAATGTACACCTAAAAATGGTTAAGATGGTAAATTTTACCTGTAATTTACCATAAATTAAAAAAACAAAAACAAAACCAAAAAACTTAGTGGCATAAAGCAGCCACCACCACTGTGTGATGTTTCTGTGTTCCCTGGTCAGAAGTTTGGGCACAGGCAAGGTTGCTCCTCTCTGCACTAGGATGTCTGAGGCCTCATCTGGAGGTGACCCTAGTGACTAGGGCTGGAAGGACTGGAGACAGATAATCTACTTCCAAGACCACGCTTTTACTCACGTGTGTGGCACCTGGGCGGGGATGGCCCAAGGACGGGCTCTTCTGGGCCTGTTGACTGGAGCCCTCCATGTGGCACTTTCAGCATGGCAGCCTTCAAGCAATCAGATTCCGTTCGAGGTGGTTCAGAGTTCCAAAACAAGTGTCCCCATCAGGCAAGGCCATGTGGCCTTTTATCACCTAGTCTCAGAAGTGACAAAGTCACCACTTTTATGAATTGCTTCTTTACTGCAATGTAGGTACTTTAACAAACTTCAGCATCAACAGTGAAATGTTATGTGTATGCCGGTTACTTACCCCTTAACTCAGTATGTATCAAGAATGCTGCTAGGGTTGGGCATGGTGACTCATGCCTGTAATCCCAGCACTTTGGGAGGCCGAGGCAGGTGGATCACCTGAGGTCAGGAGTTCAAGACCAGGCATGACCATCTCTATAAAAAATCAAAAATTTAGCCAGATGTAGTGGTAGGCACCTGTAATCCCAGCTACTCTGGAGGCTGAGGCAGGAGAATTGCTTGAACCTGGGAGGCAGAGGTTACAGTGAGCCGAGATTGCACCACTGCACTCTAGCCTGTATAGCAGAACGAGACTTGGTCTAAAAAAAAAAAAAAAAAAAAGAATATATTCTAAAAACCCTTATAACTCAACAGTAGAAAGATAAATAAACCAATTTAATTTAATTTATTTATTTATTTGAGATGGAGTCTCTCTCTGTCACCCAGGCTGGAGTGCAGTGGCGTGATCTCGGCTCACTGCAACCTCTGCCTCCCGGGTTCAAGGGATTCTCCTGCCTCAGCCTCAAGAGTAACTGGGACTACAGGTGCCCGCCACCATGCCCGTATAATTTTTGTACTTTTATTAGAGACGGGGTTTGGCCATATTGGCCAGGCTGATCTGGAACTCCTGACCTCAGGTGATCCACCTGGCTCAGCCTCCCAAAGTGCTGGGATTACAGGCGTGAGCCACCGTGCCCGGTCAAGAGTGATTTCTTAAGGAAGTACTTGGTATTTTTCTGGAATGATGAAAAAGTTTTGAAACTAGAAAGAGGTGGTGGTTGCGCAACACTAGGAAAACTCTGGATGCCACTGAATTGTACACATCAAAATGGTGAATTGGAGCCTGGTGCGGTGGTCTGGAACTGTAATGCCAGAGACTCAGGAGGCTGAGGTGGGAGGATCACTTGAGCCCAGGAGTTCAAGGCTGCATTGAGCTATGATCCTATGATCAGGCCACTGCACTCCAGCCTGGGCAACAGAGCAAGATCCCTGACTCAATTAAAATAAAAAATATATATTAAAAAACAAGAGAATGCATAGGCTCCAGGGGTATCAGCCACTATCATATCAGCAGGGTCTCACTCCAGATGTGGCTAATACAAGTCTTTCTGTGATCCATAGCTTTATCAATAACCTAAACTTGATTTGCTAATTAGCATAATGATATCTTTTTTTTTTTTTTTTTAAAGAGACAGGGTCTCTCTCTGTCTCCCAGGCTGGAGCATAGTGGTGCAATCATAGCTCATCACAGTCTTGGACTCCTGGGCTTAAGCAATCCTCCTGCCTCAGCCTCCTGAGTAGCTGGGACTACACGTGTGTGCCATCACTCCTGGCTGATTTTTTTGGTAGAGACAGGGTCTTGCTATGTTGCCCAGGCCTTATTATTGTTTTGTAAGAGCTTCCCTTTCCTTTAAGATTCTGGATACTTTGATACGTTTATTGAAGATACCTTCTCTAAGTGTACATAATTAAATTAAATCTTGAAATACACTTTCTTGGAACAGACTGCTCTTAACTGAAACTGTAAGTAGGTGAATGTTTTGCTGGA